TTGCGCCTGTTGTACGTCACAGTACTCTGAGATTACTATTAACCTTAGCTGTGGAGAATGACTTGAAAGTGGATCAGATGGATGTCGTTACTGCGTTCTTGAATGGAGACTTAAAAGAGAAGGTGTATATGAAGCAGCCTAAAGGTTTCAAAGAAATTGGTAAAGAAGGACATGTCTGTCTATTGAATAAGGCTCTTTACGGATTAAAGCAGGCTCCCAGAGAATGATATGAGAAATTACACAAAGTTTAGTTAGATATGGGTTTCAAAAGATCCGAAAGTGAACCTTGTTTCTATATTGAGAAGAAACAAAACAGTATGATGTTTATTGCGATTTATGTGGATGATATATTAATTTTCTGGAATGATAAAAAAGAAAGACATCAGTAAAGAAGGAGTTTTAAACTAAATTTGAAATGAGAGACTTAGGCGAAGTAGATATTTTTCTAGGACTGAAGATAAAACAGCAGGGGAATCAAATCAATCAGAGTATCTTGAGAAAATACTTAAGTAATTTGGTATGAGTGACTGCAAAAGTGTAAAGACTCCTGTTGAAACTGAGTTGAAGCTCGTGAAACCAGACGATGAGAATTACGTTTCATCAAGTGAACTGCCATACAGAGAGTTGATTGGTTCACTGAATTACCTAGCTATCTACTCGAGCCCGAACATTGCGTATACAGTCAGCTATTTAAGCCAGTTTAACAGATGTTACGATCAAACACATTGGACAGTTGCAAAGCGTGTGTTTCGGTACTTAAACGGAACCAAAGAACTCGGACTGGTATTCAAGAAAACGGGAAGAAAACTTTGCTATGTGGATGCAGATCGTGCAGGTGATGTGTGTGATAGGAAATCTTACACTGGTTTTGTATTCATATTTGGACGATGTACTTTAGCATGGGAAAGTCGCAAGCAAACAACAATAGCACTCTCCAGTGCTGAACCCGATTATGTGGCTCTTTCGGAAGGATGCAGGACGCCGAGCTGACTGGGATTAATGAAGTTGTGAAACTACTCAATGATAGTCAGTCTGCGATTCAAATTGCTGGAAGTCCCACGCATCGTCGGAGAACTAAACACATTGATGTGAGGCATCACTACATTCGGGAAATGGTGCGAATGGGTAAGGTACGCTTAAAGTATGTGTCAATACAAAAGATGTCTGCAGATGTGTTAACGAAAGGTCTGAGCAGAGAAAATCATGTTTGAAAGGAATGCACGTTTAAGGAGTTGGACTGGCTCTACTAACTAATTTAAGAAGGAGTGTTGAAGGTATGTAATATATAGGAAGGTTGAGATATTTTTAATACATACTTATGTAACCATGTGAAACACAGTCAATTTGTAAATACCGAATCTCGCTAAACATCACCTAATGCTTTACTAGATCCTGCTAAAAACTGCCAACTTTTTCTAAACTGTGACAAAATCTGCTAAGCCCTAAATTAGGGGTCTTATCCTGCTAGAATCGCAGGATCCGGCTAGAATCGCAGGATCCTGCTAAATCTGGTCACATTGGGGACATGGAAAAAGTATCGATACTTTTTGATAGTATTTATCCTTCCGATACCGATACTTTTCAGGTATTAGTACTTTTTGACAAGTATCGTATCGCTTTGAATAATTCCTATTTAGGACGCCTCAAATCATAGTTAAGAGTATTATACTTGCCTCAAATCCCTCATACGAGAACCTTGCAATCTCCTTCTTCAGAACCACAAACTAATAAGAGTTTGTTCAGAACGTTTGTTCTTAAAAGCAGAGAATACAATATCAAAAACGAGAAACGGACTGTTACGAATAGTTTTTTGTTTGTAAGTGATTATACAAAGGAGGAGTTCACGTAGCATAAATTGTGTGAAATGACGATTGATTGAATTGGTCAATTGAATCAGTCTTTTATTATTTGTTTCAATTAAAATTCATAAATCAAATAAAAGACATTAATTCACGTGTTTTATTCTGTCTTTAGGTAGGGAAAATTTACAGGACAAAGGTATCGATACTATTGTTGCGATACTGTTCGATACGAAAGAAAAGTTTATTCAGCTTAGGAAAATTCAAACAAAACAGATAAAACAAATACCACTTCTGAAGCAAGCAAATCCATTAAAGTTTATTTTTCTTAAAGAAATAAAAAGAAACAATGTAAACAATTTAATTATAAACAAATAAAAATAAAGAAAAATTGTTACCTAGCCGTGACCGTCAGGATCACAGACTACTTAGTGAACTACGTTCAGACTGCTCACTGTAGTACTTTTTTTTCAGTAGTAAGAATTATTTTTAATCTGTGATACTAATGTCGACTGACATTCCATTTTTTTTTAATAGGTAGACGATATTGTCTTGCAAAGGAGCAGAACGTATACATCCATACTTTAAAAAAAAAAAGGTGGTTAGGGGTTCCAGTTCATTTATATAAAATAATACGATAAAATAAAATAAATAAAACAACTCATTATTTGTTATGTTGTTGTTGTTTTTTGCATAAGGATTCATTTTATTTGTTAATTTTTCGAACAACATTTTCTTATTAAACTGAAGGGCTCTCTTAGCTCTTCGATGAAAATCGGCCTGCTGTTTAGACTTTTTGTATTCTTTATAAATACTTTTGCATGTTGGTGACAAATCTTTTACTTTCGTGATTAAACGTCTTCTCATAGGTTTCGGATCCTTAGCAATTCTGACTGTATCCAAGCCTGGAAAACACAAAAGTGAATGATGAAGTCAAGTTCTATGGAATGTAAAACATTATAACAACATGCAGCTGCACACTTACATATTATGTTGTATGTTACAAGTTTGTTGAATGAGCAGTTGCAAAGAGAAAAACCAAACATTTATTTTCCACTATACATAAGGTTATTAGAAGAATATACTAGGTTACATAATACAAAGAAAATTAATGTCTGAACTGGGAACAAACTCAGGACCTCTGCATATCCAGCATGGAGTAAATAAAGGTTCATTGCAAACATATTCATGTGGTAATAATACAACAATAATAACTCAAAATCACTTACCAGAGGCTTGAAATGCTTCATTCATCACTGGTTCAATGATTACAGGATTAACTGAAAAATAATTAGGTACTGTTGAGAAACAAGATGTTTCCATCATATAAAACAGATAGATGATGTTTATAAAATAGATCACAATAAACATACATAATTAACATCTACAATAAACGAGGTATTGTGGGAGAGATTGTAGCACCATTTGTCCACACTCACTGATGGTCTATAAGTACAAGTTGCTTCAGAATTGTGTAAAAAATGAAAAGTTGACACACCGTTAAAACCTTAACTATCGTTTATAACTTGAGTCCAACAAAAAAATTCCATTACCTAAGTCCTGTTTAGGCAGTGGAATTTGCGATGGGCCAGGCACATTCTGAGACTCACTGGAGCTAGAGGCAATTACTTCTGAAATGTGAGAAATTACACACTATAATTTTATGCAAGTCTCTCCTGTAGGTATTTTGGTATTCTGTGTGTTTATGAGTGAGAGTTAAATAAATGTGATAGGTGATAGTTGAAAATAATAACTTGTTATTTATTTGCAACAAGCATTATGTATACTTATTATCGCATACTATAATATCGAACCAGTAAAGGGGCCAATATGTCAGAATATAAATTTACATGCAATAAATCCATTTCAACAGTTTTACTAGAAAATGTTACAGTAATACAAACTGCATTACTAACCTTTTAGTGGTTCCCTTTGAAAGTATGTGTGGTCAAAGTGTCTTTTACGCAAGTAACTATGCTCCAAATCAATATCCATGTTTTCTGTAAGTGCAAAATAAATAAAACAATTAATATTAATAACATTAAAAGTTATTCCTTCGAACTAGGACACATCCGGGTATAAACACTAACACATGCAGGTATAAACAAACAATTCAAAACTCAATACTATTTCTTTAGTTTTAAAATTAAGTAAGTACTTAAATTGTTATAAGTTATTAACGCTGGATACACCAACGTCGGCAATTGCGAATTTGTTTCTTAGATGACGGTTATTTTATTTTTATATTGTTAATATTTTATTTCGGTTATGTTATTAATATTTTATTTCTACAAAGCAACTACGGGCTAAGCTCATATTAAAAGTCTGTTAGGACGTAGAGATTAGAAGGCTATAGTAAAGTCTGTACTTAAAACTTACCGGCATTGTCCTGTGATGGTATTCCAGAGGAAATCTCGTCTTCGGTAAACAAAGATGGATATGCACTGCCTATGAGACGTAATTTCGGCGTAATAAACCTCTTTTCAAAGTGTTTTTGACATACAAAAACGTTTGAAAGTTCTTCTGGTGATAACTTTTTCAGATTATCACGATTTAGTTACTTTAACCACTTCATGAGTCTTTTCTCAGTGCGAGGAAAATGATGTAAAATAGCGTCCTGTCGTGAACTTTTACATACACAGCACTCGTACATTTTGTATGAAGCAAAATACAAACACACAATACAGAATTAACGGAGAAGATAAGCACGTCACGTCTTCACTCGATCCGAACCTGTACAAACAAGCTACAAGCCACTACAAGGTGAAAACAACAAAACAATAACAAAGTGTAAAATACTACGATCACTACCCAAGATGGCGGAAAGGCTACCTACGCCTGCGGCAGCCAATCACAGCAAGGAAACAAAAATGACAAATGTCATTATTCATTAAAAAAGATGGCCGCTATTGCGAGCGGTTTTCTATAGGTAGATTACCGGCCGTGGTCAGGATGGCTGGTCGCCTGTGGCGTCTGGCACTGAGTGTATATTCAAGAATTGCTACCTTTTGTAAATAATTGCTACCTATGATATATTCTGAGAAATTAAAAAAAAATTTTGACCAGCCATCCTGACGGTCACGGCTAGGTAACAATTTTTCAAAAAATAGGTAGCGATTCTTGAATATACACTCAGTGCCAGACGCCACAGGCGACCAGCCATCCTGACGGTCACTACCTAGCCGCTCAGTTAGAGCTCTGGATAGCACTATTTTAATTTTATTTTAAAAGATTGAATGGATGTTGTGATGACACCCTACGCTTTTTTCTTTTTTTTTGCGTAGAATCTCTAATAATTGTATAAACTCCACAATTGGAGTGCGCTGCAGAGCAGCTATAGCCTGCAAATCCTCCATGTTAGAGAGTTTTAATTTCACATCACACGAATGTGTGAACGGTATTTCGCGTCAGCCACTCGACATGAATGTTTCATGCATTGTTTCAACGAGTGGTGACGCGAATAGCGAGCACGATAGTGTAATTGGTGGGCACGGGATGCGCGGGGTGTGAAATAAAATCCGTGCTAAAATTGACAGTTGTCATTCTGTTCAACCCAGACGTTGGCGAAATCGTCGCGCAAAACGACAGAGCCATAAATACAAAAGTTGAAGTTGAGTTGACATTCTGTTGTTCAAAAGATTTGATACCAGGAGATTTAGACAAAAATTATATAAATAACGATCTTAACTATTCATTTTCTTCTTTATTCCACTTTTTTATTTATGCGTCCAAAGCGTCCTTCTGGTTTGATGCATCTTTAATTGATGTGTAAATGTTTCCCATATGTCCTTTAGTAAATATTTTTTTATCATGGAATGGATGGTCGTGCATGAATTTTCTGAAATAAATAATAGACTCGTCAGGTGTTAGCTGTATACATAAAATAGTAACAATAAATATTAACTAACACCTTACCTGGAAATGACCATCTCATTTTCTGTGTCGACATAAGCTTTACACGATTGCTTTCCACGGCAATAATAATCTATGCATCGCCATCTACGTTTGCGTTGCGTTGAATGATGTAAATTGTACATATAACGGTTAAGGATTAACATTAATTTGCCTCTTTTCGAAACAGTGTACAAGGGACTGCTACAATCTGAAAAAATATATAGTTACATTACATAGCATTCCTAATTAGTTAGTTTCTAAGCAGACATTGAATATTTTTTATTTCTTACCATGTGTGAGTGCTGCATCTTTAGTTTCAGAATTTTGCTTCGGTTCTATTCTTATAGGATTGATGGTTATTGTCATCGGTTTGCCTGTATCACTTTCAGCACCAGATGCAGTTATTTCAAAACTAAACTGTTGATTATTATGAGGGACAACTGGTTCAGGTAAAGTTTGCTCAATTCCACTTGTTTCCATGTTTTTTCCAGTAAAACTATTGTTGGATGTTGATTGTTGCAAGTCCTTACAAAAAGGATCCACTGATGTAGAAGAGTTGATTGCTGCTTCAACATCAAACAATGTAGTTTCGTTTGAATCAAGTGCAGTTACAATTTTAGTGCTTTTCAAGTTGTTGTCATTGCCCATATTTGTACTAGGACAAACAATGTTATGCTCAAAATCTTTTGTTTCTTCACTCATATAATCCATAACATTTACTGTATCATTTATGCTCCAAAGCTCTTTAACATTCTTAGTGTCATTGTATGTAGCAATAGCAGTGGTTACATTATTGATACCAATATCAGATTTTGAGTTCTCTGGTTGAATATTAGTATCTATAGTATCTAAATCAATTTTAATTTCTTTGGGGATATTAGCGCAACACTCATTATATATTTCTTCCGGTAGTTTGTGGTTTGCATTACTTATTTCCATATTTTGTTCACAAGATTGTATTGTTTGACTAGTTTGCAGTATACCAACAGAGTTGTTCTCTTGTATGGTATTTTTATCTCCACTCATATCATTAACTGATGTATTATTAGGTAAAAGTGTTACAGTTGGCTGCGTGGTATATGTCTCAGCAGTTGTATCAGGGACTCTGCTCAGGCTATGGATTTTATTTAGTTCTGTTTTGTTCCTAAAAAATTAAAAACTTCTATTAAGTCAATAAAAAATAATAAAAAAAAAAATAATCAATATTTCTATATAGTTTTTATTTATAACAGATTACTATTTCATAGTCAGTTATTTAGGCAGCTTAAATTAGCCAAAATCAATCACATGTTGGTGGCTTAACAGCTGAAATCAACAGTATCACAGTTAATTATAATAATATTTATGTTTTACAAACCTTTTAGAAAGAGTTTTCAATACCTCAGATTGATAGGACGCACTGTACTGCAAATAAAATTGTTTGCTGATGCATTAATGAATGCCGACATTATTATTGAATATCATGAATAGAAATGATTTTTTGTCAATTGTTTGCACAAAAGAATAATCAACCTCTGGTCTCAGCCCAACGAAGTCAAATGTCCCTTTTACATTCAGCCCCTGCCGCTGCCAGCTATAATTCCCTAAATACTGCTGCAGCAGGATCGAGAGGAGTGTGTGTTTACATACTGCCCTACCACTCACTTCGCTTTCAAGTTTCGGCAATGGCAGATGTCGAAATAATTACAGCGGCCGCGCTGTCTCTTTTTGCGATACATAATTATGTTCGATATTTAAAAAGATATCGAATACAAAAAAAGAATGTTCGTCGTAGACGATGGTGGATGATATCTATCCATCGAAATAGAACTTTGTAAGTACCTAATTATCAACCTACCTACTTAACTAATTTTTTAATGCATATACTAATTCTATTAGTAAGTATGAGTTGTTTATCATGCCTGTCTTTCGTCTCAGGGACGTAATGAATAACTTTTTCAATGATATGAATAGTGAAGAATCTGGGGAATTTACTAACTTTTGCAGAATGTCTCGTACCGATTTTGAATTTCTGTTGAACAAAATTGAACCTATGATAAAGAAACAGACAAGACTAAGAATACCTATTCCACCAAAAATATGCCTAGCAATAACCCTAGCAACATCCCAAATGACTTTTTCCGTTTCCAGTAGTTCTAAGAATTTTATTGTAATCTCATTGTTCCATTCTGACAGCATTTTCGATGATCTAAAGTATCTAAATGAACGTCTTTCTCCTTTAGGCGCTTTGCGAGTACTGAGCGTCGGAGCAGAATGTAAACACGCACTGCCGGTCCTTTGACTTCCGCACAAAAAAACCGCCATTTTGGGGAGCGCCGGGCAGCGCGAGTGGCAATGGCAGTGGCATGAGAAGTATCGCGTTTACACACTCGTCCTGCTCACTACGGCTGAATGTAAATGAGGTACAAGATTTGAGTCTATGTAACTTGAAACCTAGTTTGAACTTTCAAAACGAAATGTATTCCATACATTTTCAAAACTCACACTAGGTATCACTTTATGTGACTAAGAGTTTAGATATTATTTTACAATCCAGTTGTTCTGGGGAATTAAAGTATACAGTGTACCTATGTACAGTCAACAGCACATCAAGCTGTAAACTTGTGTATGAATATCGCCTCCTGCGTAACGGAACCAGATTTGTCAATGTGTAGCTTGAAGTGCTGCTGTCTGTGCATCTTTCAAGTATGTAACTTACAATTGGAGGAATCATATTTTCTAATCCAATAATATGTAAGGCTTTAGCAGCTTCAATAAATGAAGCCATTCTAATACTAGGAACTTGGACTTCTCCAGTGTACACATATTCCAGTATATAGCCAAGTATTTCTTTCTTTATTTGCTGAAATAAAATATAATTTATTAATTAAACAATACTTCTAATGTCGATTGATAACAAATACCTACATGCTACATTTTTTTGTAAAACACGTGATTTATTCCTTTTAACATCAACTACTTCATAGATAATCCTATTAAAGTAAATAATAAGCAATTAAAGCTAAGAAATTAAGGTTGACATTTGATATGATCAATCAGATCCTATAAAGGTACAGGATATTCATACACAAAAACTCACTGTTAGAAATAGTACAGGATGTGAACAAGGAATAGTCTGAAGCACCTCCTTGATATATGGACTGGCAAGAGCCAAAATATTCCTATGTACTTGTATTAAATGCCCTTCTGCAGCTAGAGTCATGTCGACAAACTCTTCATCCTGTAATTATTACATAAATAATACAATTAATTTATTATTTAAAAACTTCACAATATGTGGCTAAGTAGGTTTGTGAAGTCGTGTACGATTATTTACATGTTGCAATCTCAAAAATCCACTAAAAAAGTTTTTTCTAAACGAATCCAAGCGTATATGACACTGAGGAGTCATTTTAGTAATTGGATAGTTTTGGTGTGTGAAGTAAAAATTTTAAGATGACTCCTTTCTAAAATGACGAATGAACTGCCGGCTCCACGGAATAGTCTGTGGCCGGCTCCCAGGCTCCCATATATGTAACAATGTGTTAACAAGGTACTCTTTGCGGCCCCCCGCTTCCGTATATGCAATGTAGTCGTAGTCACTGAGCATATAACCACTACGTTTTGTCGTAGTCTTTGGCCCCGGCCACCCAACTGCACAGGAACTGCACTGAACCCATTACCCAACTAC